TATACACGCTCACTCGCTTATACCCGGGAATTACCCATAAGCCCCATAGCTACGCTGTAACATGCGCCGAGCAGAGTTCATAGCGGACGACATCAACATTAATTATAATGTCCTTTTTTTGTGTGTGTTGTGAAAATATTAAAACTATCACAAATTGACTTTACGTTTAAAACTTGAAGCTCTTTTTTTTTTATTATTAAAATGAGTTAAAAGTCAATCCAAAAGTGAACATATACATCAGAGTTGAAGCACACCAGTTTGTAGCACATTCAAGAGTTGGAGACCAGACGCTCCTCTCTTAGTCATGCTGTTAGCTAACTGTTCATGTCCAGGAACCCACTTCACAACGCTGACTTCTCTGGTCTGAAGAGACTGTTGAACAGCAGCTATATCCAGCCTCAGACGCCTGTCATCAACAAGCTTAGTGGAGTGGATGGCCTCCACTACACTTTTGTTATCTACATATGCACACACAGGTATCACATCACTAATGCCAGACACCTCTTCCAGCATTTTTCGCATATACACTGCTTCCTCTAAACCCTCCTGAAGACTGAGAGTTTCAGCTGCAATCGTGGATCTCACTACTCTCTTGATCTTCCCAGAGTGCCAAGCTAAGGGACAACAGCAATTGTTTTCACCAAGAAGAAACACAATGTAGGCACCTACACTACCTACTCCATCACACACATTAGCATGTGCCGCGTCAGTGAACACAACTATCTTCCAGCTGGAAGCATTGCCGATATTCCGGAAAACAAGCTTTGCTTCATTTTCTTTCAGCTTTCTGATCACCTTGATTGCTCTCAACAAGTCTTCTACTGTACCCTTCTTGAACTTGGTGCTGAGATCAATCATTTCAAAAGCAATGTCAGGACGACAACCTTGCATAACCCAGTTGATTCTGCCAACCATCTGTCTCAATACCGTATGTTCTTTCACAGTTAGATTTTCAGCTTTTTGTGATTTTCTTTGAGGTGACACATTGTCAAACTCTAAATCTTGCACATATTCATTCTGATCTAGCACGATAGCACCAGGATTCTGTGTGATCTGAAAACTAACATATTTGAATTGTCCACTCTCCCTCTTCCCAGCTTTGAAATACTGAACTAACTGTGCTATGATGTTGTCAAAATGAGGTTGTCCACAGTGTAAGAAATCGTCAACAAGACAAGCAAGCATTCCTATGAGACATCCACCATATTTCATGTAAAACAATGCTGGGTCATACACTGACTGAATACATCCCAGCTGCAGAAGGCGATCTCTCACACTCTGGTAAAACTGTCTTGCAGCATCATTCAGTCCATACAGACAGTGCTTTAGCTTCCACAGTTTGTCCTCAGCTACACTAGCGTCCTTTGGGGGGATAATATACACATCTCTGTCTAAAGCTTTTCCTTGAAGAAATGCAGACTTAATGTCTGTGGTCTTGATGTCCCAGTTTTGCCATACTGCAAGAGTTAGAAACATTCGTAATGCACTCTTACTGACAGTTGGCGAGTCTCTATCTAAGACACCATCTTCCTCAAATCCCCTAGCCACTAGCCTTGTTTTAACTTTATCACCCTTCTGACATATTACCCAGCGAGTGGAAATACAAGGCTGTCCACAATTTTGAACTTCTTCATATGTATCAAACTCTCGTAAACGTCCAAGCTCTTCACATTTCGCCTTCACACAATCAATATCATCATGTCTTGATCTTGGAATAGTCACCACGTTAACATCATGGACTATCACTTTCACCCAGTCATGCACTTTGTCAAGGTTCACACTTGTCACAGTTTCTCCATCACCTGCACATATGTTGAACACATTCTTGTTTCGCCCAGACACTTTGCCTCCTCTACTCACAACTGTAGCAACCACCCAATCATCTTCTGATGTGTCTTTGAACTGTATCTTGTCATCCTTCTTCAAACTGATTTTACTTCCCTTGGCTTCATCCATGTTTGTTGTTTCATCCGTCATGTTATCCGCTGCCTGTACCTTAGTCTCATCATTTTGAGAGTTTTCATTCGACATGGCATTGTGTCCTGCAATCATTTCTGAAAGCGGCATGTCAAGTCTGTCCACTTCAAATCCATGACCTTTTACACTGTTGCGCTGCAGCTGGTTCTCTCTCTCTTCAGTGTTCCAATCACACTTAAATTCCAGTCCTGATTTTATCAGTCTATTTGGTGACACTCTAACAAACACCCCCGCCGTGTCGAACAAACACAACTTTTCCATCTTGGAACACAACCTTGCCTGGACCTAACCACTTTTCACTGCCATCACGTTTGTAATACACCAAATCACCATGATTGTATATTTCCTCCGAGGCTCTAATTTTGCAACGCAGAGCTCTTCGGATCCTTTCATTTGCTTCTGAGGCGATAAATGCTTTCCTTGCTGCATGCAAAGCGTTCAGATGTTCAGCAAATGACTCACTTCTTGTTACACCTTCAAGTGCTGGGACCGTTTCACTCATGATGTTTGGCAAGTTTGGATTCTTCCCAAACACTAACTGGTAGCTACTGAAACCATGCCACATTTGCAAAGCACTGCGAGCCATATTCGCCCAACACAGGAGTATATCAAGAGGTGTTTCTGGGCACTGTTCCTCCATTCTAGCAAGCATCATATCAGTCACTGAGTGGATTCTCTCACATAGTCCGTTCTGAAATGGGCTTTCCGCAGCAGTTGTGTGAACTCGGATGTTCAGTATACTAGCCACCTCTCTTATTTCCTCGGCTTTGAACTCCCCTCCATTGTCTGTCAGGATACTCTGCATCACTCCGAATCCAGCTCCTACCCAGTGCGTCATAATCTTGTCAATCACTTCACTTGGTGTTTTCCGAGTAATGAAGGCAGACACAGTTAATCTAGACCACATGTCCACTAAATGTAAAATCCATCCATTTCTCCACTTCTTTAAGTCCATAGCAACTGTCTCGTTGAATTGCGATGCCATTGGTAGTGCAACAGCAGGTCTGGCTGGTGTTCTTGTGTAAATCTTACATAACTGACACCGCTCATAAATTGCATGGACAGTGTCCCTGAACTCTTCTCTCCAGACCCCAGCATCCTTAAGAAGGGCCACAAGCTTTCTCTCTGGAGGATGAGCAAACTGTCTGTGTAACTTCAAGAGAGTCTTGTACCGTTCGTCTTTGTCGAGTTTGTGAAGCAGCACAGCATGAACTTCTTCAATTGGTATTTGCTCATTCTTGTCAATTGGAATGCAGTAGTGACCCGATGATGTATAGTTCAGATTCACTTTCTGTCCAAGAATTTCTGCTGTATCATTCCCAAGATCCAACTTGATTCGTGCCTCCTTCATAGCATGTATTGATAGTAGTAATGGTATATCAGAATCCACAACATCTGTTCTGATACTGATGGCTTTTCCAGCCATCACAGCAGGTATTTCATAATATCCCAGTGACTTCAGCATCTCACCACCTCCAAACTTGAACACTTTTACACCATCGCAAACTGTCACTTTTTCTTTGTCAACTTGATCCAGACACTCTATGTATCCATTAAGCCATGTTCTGCCACACACTGTACTCGAACATGCACTGTCCAAAACTGCACATGATCTAGCATCATTGCCTAACTGAGCCAAACCTTCCTTGATACTTCCAGTGAACAGCACCACTTGTTTTTCTGTCTGTACTGGTTCACCTTCAGTATAGTTGACTCTGGATGACATGTTTTCATAGCTGTGAGGACAATGTGCAATTAGATGTCGGAATGAACCACATGCAAGACAAGTTAAAGTTCTACCATTTGCACCAACAGGGTTCATAGCTCGATCTGACTGTCCACGACCTCTCCAAGTACTTCCTCTTCCTCTGCCATTACTAAATCCTCTTGGTCTGAAATATCTGCCACGAGATCTGCCAGACTGACTAAAATATGTTTCTTCATCTTGAGCCACGAAAGCTGGTTCCAGCTTAATATTCGCAAATGCTGCTGAGCTTGAACCACCACCTGCCTGCTGACCGAGGAATTTCTTCAGTGAAACCTTAGCTTGATCATACAAATCTTCCTTTTTAGTATAGTCCATGCCTGTCATAACCAACATTTTCTCTTCTTTGTTTATCTTTGCACGTTTGAGTAACTTGAAAGCAAGAATCTCTTGTGGAAGACTCATTCCCTTTTTCAAAATCTTGTTGTATCTTTGATCAAGTTTTGAAATAAATTCATTAATTGACTGTCCAGATTCACGTTCATAGTCCTCAAAATCTACAAATTTATCCAAACTATCTGCCAGGTCATCTTTCCCCAATTTTTTTTCCAAAAACGTCAACAAGGTATCGAAACCATCTTCTTTCTTCAAATCAGCAAGATTGATGTTATCAAACACTTTCTCACGTATACCAATCTCGTTTTCAGGCAAAGACAGAGCTAAGACGATACCTTGTTTCTCTTTCTTTAAGTCAGTAACTTCCCGCCATGCCAGCAGTTCCTGCTTGTAACGCTCGTAACTCTTAGTAAGGTTGAAATCCAGAGGGTTGATTCTCACAGCCATGGTACGAAATGTTCCACTTCTGTACACTGAATATACTTTGTCCCGCTACCGAGTCCAGTTTTCGATCATGTAAACAATGGAATAACTTCGTTCAACTACAGAGTCAATTGTTCAGATTGATAATTGTCGCTTTCACTGAAGATGTCACTATGCAACTGAATTCCATTCATCACATTATTTACTGGCAGAATACAACCGAACGCACATTTCACTTGTCCAACTTGTCCATACTTGGTCAAGGTTCAATCAGTAACTTCAAACTTCATACGGTGTAACTCACAGGATATACAGTCAATACGCTTGCCACAATGATTAGAATATGCAAACCACGCTCTGCTACCACTGTTAATTCATCTCCATGATAACCAACACTGTATTCATTCACATACGCTCTTTATCTGTCATGTCACCTTGTATACACACTCACTTGCTTATACCCGGGAATTACCCATAAGCCCCATAGCTACGCTGTAACATGCGCCGAGCAGAGTTCATAGCAGACGACATCAACAACAAGAACCAGATGTCCATACCTTACATCATCGAGCCGACTTTGAAGCCCTCGTCAAACCAGTTGACATCAGGCTGGCCCCCAACACTCACAAAACACAGGGGCACGAGGCCTGTGGGTTCGGATACGTGGGGAAACGAACGCTCCCGTGGTATACAGGGGTCCCGACGCAGCTGAAAAGTTTCACATGTGCTTGCAACAGGAATTAAAAACCATCAGGAAGAGGTTGCACACCGTTGTTCCCATGCGTATGACCCAAACCGACCGGCGAGCTCACGGCTGCAGTACTGACTGCCACGTGTGCAACGGCCTGCTGAACGGCGATTCGGTGAGAGATCACTGCCACATCACCAGTGAGTACAGAGGCGCCGCTCAGAGCCCGTGCAACGTCAAGCTCAGAATCACCCCCAAAACAATCAACATCCCCGTGGTCTTCCACAACTTGAGAGGGTACGGCTCTCACTTGATCATGCAGGCCATCGTGAGGGTTGACGTCAACCTGACGTGCACCCCCAACAACATGGAGAGATGTATCTCCTTCTCCTTGAACGGCCTGAGGTTCATAGACTCAGTTCAGTTCCTGCTGTCGTCTCTCGACAGTTTGGTCAAGGCCAAGGATACCTTCCCCATCACCGATCAATACACCGACGCCGAGACTCGGCCCCTGCTGATGAAGAAGAGTGTTTACCCCTACGAGTACATGCACAGCTGGGCCAAGTTCGCCGAGAACTGACTACCCCCCTCCCCCTCCACCCCTCCCCTCATCAGCCGGTCTGTACTTGAGAACAGAGGTACTCTTGCTGGCTGACATGTTCGACACGTTCAGAAAGACGTGTTTCAAGCAGTATCAACTCGACCCTGCATGGTATTACACCAGCCCCGGTCTCTCTTGGGATGCCTTGCTGAAAAAGACTGGGGTCAAACTCGAGCTCCTCACCGATTACAACATGCACCTGTTTATCGAGAAAGGGTTGCGAGGTGGGATCTCCATGGCCTCCAAACGCTACGCGAAAGCCAACAACGAGTACGTGAATGGCTACGACTCTAGTAAGCCCACCACCTACATCCTCTACCTCGACGCCAACAACCTGTACGGCTGGGCCATGATCCAGGATCTACCCACGGGGGATTCGAGTGGGTGCCTGAGATAGACGTCATGAGCATACCGCCGGATTCGGGGAAGGGTTACATACGAGTATCCAGTGGCATTACATAAGTCACACAACGGCTACCCCCTGGCTCCAGAACGTTTGATGGTGGACCCGGACTTGATGTCTGACTACCAACAGAACTTGCTGGGGGGTAATAAGCCGGCCAACGTTGAAAAACTCGTACCCAACTTGATGCCCAAACCCAAGTACAACGTTCACTATCGCAACCTGCAGATGTACCTGTCGCTGGGTATGAGGCTGACTAAAATTCATAGGGTGCTCAAGTTCGACCAAAGCCCCTGGATGGAGCCCTACATCAGAATGAACACGGACCTGCGAAAGCTGGCCACCTCTACAAGCTCATGAACAACTCGGTGTTCGGTAAGACGATGGAGAACCTGAGGAAACGCGTGACCATGAAGCTGATCTGGTCAAAAGAGGAAGACAAGCTCAGGTGACTGATAGCCAGCCCCGCATTCAGCCGGAGAAAGATATTCACCGACGATCTGGTGGCCCTGCACATGAGGAAAAGCCCAATAGCGTCCACCAGGCCGACCTCCTGTTCCTACCACACAACAAGAAGTACAAGTATGCCCTAACAGTCGTTGACATGGCCAGCCGTTACAAAGAAGCCGAACACTTAACCGCGAAAGACTCGGCCCAAGTAGCCCGCGGGTTCGAGTGCATATACAAGCGCAGTGAGCTGACATGGCCCACAGAGCTGCAAGTTCATGGGAGTTCATGGGTGCCGTGTCACAACTGCTAGACAAGCACGGCGTCCAAGTCAGGTGTGGCACAGCCGGAGCTCATCGCAGTCAAGCCATTGTCGCGAGATTCAATCCGAGCGCTTATTCGGGCATCAGTATGCAAGAGAAATGGCCAACACGGGGAGACGATCGACGGAATGATTAAGGTTAATTTCAGTTGTGGGAATAACATATCATTTCATATAGATATTCACAATCTGACTCATATCTCTTCACCTGTGCACAAATACCACCGATGCACCAGGTAAAATCCCCGGTCGTTATGTATAGTGAAATCGTTATGTATTGTACAATGATATTGTGAACCCTGACTGGATTGGTCAATGCGATGGGAGGCATTCATGCATTCAAAATTCATTGTCAGATAATGATGATGCTAAGTGTTAACGAAAACCAAAGTACCCATAACAAACACATGCAAAGGCAAGCTACGTCGTCAACAAATGCTTATGTCTTAACGGACTTTCAAGTCTATTCATTCTCCATTTCATTTCAAAGAGGAAAAATTACCAGCTTAAAGAAAACTATACAATTAAGATGCAGCAGGTGGTAATAAATTCATTTTTACACATACGCCAAACATTCCTTGGATATTGCTTTGTATGTACTGTGTCTGATAATTTTATGTCTTCCTTCAGAGAAACAGAATCCGACACAAGCGTATACTGAGTTGAACACTTCTCTCCTCGATGCCTGCATGGTTGGAGATGTGGTTCGAGTCAGGAATATTTTGTCTTATGGCCAGGCAAATATTAACTCAAGAGGGAATACCAGAATGACACCGGTGATGCATGCAGCTTATGGGGGACATGAAGAAGTGTTTGACTTACTTGTCAGGGAAGGTGCAAAACTGTCCTTATTTAATAATGCAGGGGAGAACATTCTTCATCTAGCTTGTATTGGGGGAAGTGTTGAAATCGTCAAGTATGTCCTCACACAGAACATTGTGGGCATCAACAGTCAAGATGTCGACGGATGGACCCCAGTAATGCAAGCAGCCAAAGATGGACATAAGGATGTGTTTGACGTTCTAGTGGAGGCAGGAGCAGATCTTACACAAGTAAGAAGGAACAAAGAAACCATCCTTCATTTGGCTTCTGGAGGCGGTAATGTTGAGATAATCAAACACCTCCTTTCACATGTCAGCGTGGATATCGACAGTCGAGATGTGGACTTTTGGACACCAGTAATGCATGCGGTCCATGCTGGAGATATGGATGTGTTTAACTTTCTTGTTGAAAAAGGGGCAGATCTATCCAAAGTTGGCATTGAGAAAAAAAACATCCTTCACGTAGCCTGTGCAGGAGAAAATGTTGAAATAATCAAGAACCTTCTGAAACATGACATTGTGGACATCGACAGTCGTGATAAGGACGGATTGACGCCAGTAATGTATACAGCAAAGGACGGGTGTAAAGATGTGTTTGACGTACTTGTGAAATGGGGAGCTGATCTGTCACTACTGGATGATGATAACGACAACATCCTCCATTTGGCCTGTGGTGGAAACAGTATTGAGATCGTTAAGTACCTCCTCAAACACAACATTGTGGATATCAACAGTCGGGATAGGAAAGAATATACGCCTGCAATGATTGCAGCATGTGAGGGACATGAGGCTGTATTCTTCTTACTTGTTGATCATGAGGCTGATCTAACAATTATGAATGATGTTGGTGATAACATCCTAGATATAGCTTGTAAAGGAGGAAATGTACATATTGTGAAGTATGTTTCTACTCGGTTCATTTTTGAGGGGCCGTACAGGGAGGACGATCCATGTTGAATTCAGTCTCCATAATCTGTAAAGAAATGTTTTAGAAAAGGTGTCTTTCGTTTTTCTGATTAATCAAGGCTGGCATCCGTGCTGATAACATTCAAACGAAATAGGGTATTAATGAATAATGCCGTGAATAGACACATCAATGGTCACCAACTGTGATCCCCACAACATAATTTTTTGTGCACATTACTGGAATTTCTGGTTGGATTTCAAAATCATAACACATGACTTTAACTTCAATATTGGGTTAAGTGATGATTTGATATATTTCAATGATGGTCCTTTTCATATTTGAGTATGAACATTCAAACATTTTCAGAATGTGGTTTATTTATCCATCACTTATTCCTACAACGGTTTGTAAAAGGAAATTTCTAGTTTGATAATTGAGTGTGAAAATATAATGGCTTACTGAAAAGTGCTGTAAGAAATAGAGATTTGTATCATACTCATTTCATAAAACATGTCTCTCAATTCTTGTATTTCCCAAGCAAGATAAATGCTTACAGAAGCCTAACACAATCAGTATGAAATACATGCAAGTGTAATAATGTCTTTATAACCCCTTTTGTCTGAATCCTTTTGAACTTCCTTTTAGAAAAATGCACCGAACACGATCACAACTGTCGAGATCATGTTGACGATCTTCGTCTCCTATGTCATCACTCTGGCTATGTAACAATATGATTTTTCAAAATGATTTTTCCTTTGTGTGTGTAATAAATGAATCTGCAAGCACACGACTCCTGACATGTTTCAAATACAAATTTATCTCAAGAAAAAGCAATTGTATTGATATTTATATATTGTCAACCTTAAAGTATCAGTTCTCATTTATTTATTGTTGTTTTTTAATAAGAAATTGACTTGATTGATAAATCCAGTTTTTTTATCAGAACTAAAAGAGATCAAATGTTTTACTTTTACACACAACTTTAGACACAGGTTTCATTGTAACTTTGATTTTGAAGCGTCTTTTTCAAATGAGCACTCTGAAGTTGTAAAACTGTTTTTGTGAATTCAAGATGTGTTCTGATGAAATTGGTACTAAAACAAATATTGTCAAGCCTGCCCTCATTTAATTCTGCACTTACAGCATTTATATGTGCCACATATGCTGCAAATGTTCAATAAAAGGGCATTATTGCAAATACGACTGAATGGACTCGAAAGCTTTGACTTTAGACTGGTTTAGGTTGATCATTATCTGAGGTGTCATAATGTCCATCAGCTGTATGTTTGACAAAATCATACTCTGATCAATATTAATGTCGTGCTTGTTATGAAAGAAGGAGCAATGAACGTGTAAATATAACTAATTCAAAATTCAGGTTGTTAAATAGTCCAGTTGAAATATTAATTACTCACCTTGATTAATGTGTTATGCATTGCAACGAATAACTCCTCTTCAACTGGTTTAGACGATGTCCATTTAAAATATGGAAGTTTATAAATCTCGAGGTAAATGAATGATACATTTTTTTATGCTGGCGTCCCACTTCAGTACTAAGTTATTTGTAGCATTTAGAATGGCCTATATTGCTATTGATTATTGTGTTTTGTTGCATTTAGATAAAACTGTTTAATGACTTCAGTTGTCCATTACTGTATGTATTTCTCATGCCTTGTTCTACCTTTCACATATTAGAACACAACAATCAGGACATGTCTATGTTTCATGTTAATTCCTTATTTTATTTTAACAATAAAACAAAACAACGGCAACTCAAAAAGGCATTAACATAGCAAAGAGCACTTCGATTGAGTGTGAAGTGACCAGTGCAATAAAGTACGATACAGTCAATAATTATGCCCAACAATATAACACGAACACTTACTCAGAATAGGAGTCAATAGAATACGATTTTGAGCTACAGAAAGGCCAAATTCAGGGATAAGGCTTCGCTCATGCTGAAGAATGATGACAATTGCTATGGATATACAACTTATTCTGTGAAGGGCGACGTTTCGACATAGATACATGACTTGTTATTACAGTAAATTGGGGATGAGTTGTTTGTGCAATGAACAAGGTTGATGTACAACGCTTGTATAGGAGATTGAGTTAGTGATTGGAAGCCAGTTAGGTGACATACTAGGATTGAATTAAAGCTTATACAAATGATGGAAACATTTGGGGTTGATGTACATAGCGTGCATGGTAGCTCATGCTCACAAGAAGACTCACCGGATTAGAAGAAGTGTCATAGTGTCATATCGGAATTTATAGAAGTAGCGTAAGGAACTTGGTGATATGTGAAACATCACAGTAGAACACTTCCAGTACACAGGGACACCGAACAGCTTTATGTCTACTTGCCAGGAAAGGTGGAGATCGTCACTATCAGATGATGCCGAAAATGGGATTTGATAAACAATTACAAAAACACAGCCTGAAAACCTTTGAGTTTATTTAACGCACTTTAAAGGGAAGTTGATATACCACTATGACAATATCAACATTCTTCATATGATGGAGGGAAAAACAGCCAGAAAAACTTTGAGTATAAGTATAGAATAAGTACGAATGATGTGCATCAAAATTGTCCGAGAATATGGGAAATGTTCTCTTTTCTATCATGCACATTCCTGATAATTCTGTATTGTACTGATATACCGTTTTAGGCCGCTTGTTTGTACAGTAGGAACGGAAACACATCTTGTTCTTATTGTGTATTTGTTGTATCCATGCTTTTTCATCGATGTAGTGACTGCATGATAATGATATTCTTAACCTTCTTAAGTGTGTAATTATATCAAAATATCTTTTATTTCGTTTCAACGCATTTGGCTATGACTATTCTCTGAGTATTGTAACAGGATATTGTGTTGATAGCATTTGCACACTTTTCTAATCACACTGTATACAACTATGCACTGGACAACCCACTCAACCTAGCTCGGATTAGATATTTACTTGATATTTTTTTACCTGAAGAGAATTCTAACCTATGGATTGAATATGCTTTTAATATTATAAAGTATTGTAATTATTAATAGTTTATATGAAGTAGCCAATATTGCTTTTAATTTATCAGTATGAAATGTCAAACTGTATGTATGTGTGAGAGCATGATTTGTTTGGTAGGTTGAATGTAATGCTGAGTAAGAAGTTTCTATAATGTAATGTCGCCATAATACGATATTGTCAGTATGATTTGTTTTAGAAATGTGACACTCCCGTAGTTAGTGTGGGTATATACCCCGGTGTCACCCACAGGATATGTAAACATTGTTTGTTATTTAATTATCTACTTGTGATTTAAGTATCACACCTATGATCATTAGGTTGATTATTTATATGCTAAATTACAACAACTATGTAGTATTTTATGTGTTTGTAATAATAATAACTATAAGGTATGTGTAACTGCACGTGTTGCATGTTTAGGTTAATGTATATTATACTTTCCTCCTGGATGACTGACTGATCAAGTCATCGATTGATACTGTGGAATAAATGTCAACTCCCAAGCACACTGGCAGCTAGTTATTGTTATTGACTCACCCCTGTAACAGTATTATCGTACCATGAACGGTTATGGGTTTCAAAATATACCTTCATGTATGAATATCCGTGACCATTACCATGCAGAGGCGTAACATACAGCCCACAATGTCAGATATACTCATGCCAATAATGGTTGTCACCCCCTCCCCACCCCAACCCCCACATCCCACACCCACGCCCCACAGCCCCTCTCCAATAAAAAAAATTGAAGGGGGTGACAACCATTATTGGTATGAGTATATTACGTTGTGTTTGTTTGGGTTGGTTATTGTTTAACGCCGCACTCAGCAATATTCCGGCTAAATGGTGTCTGTCTGTGAATGAAATAGTGAGGACCAGACAATCCAGTGAACATCGATCTACGCAATCAATATACGTTAATGGAATACGTGCACATGTGTCAACCAAAGCAACTTGCCTGACCACCCGATCCCATTAGTCGCCTCTTACACAACATGGGTTGATGAAGATCATTTTTAACCCGGATCTTCACCAGTGTATTACATAGTGAGCCATCCAGGTTGAAAGCATGTTATCTCTTTTTTTGGTATGTTTTGAAGAGTGAAATGATTATGTATTTCGAAATAAATATTTCAGTTGACGGCATTCTGCAGCTAAGAGACGATCGGGAATTTGAGAGATTTCATCCTCAATGCTATTCTCTGATGATGAAAATGCATTTCAAACGCTGGACATGCATATGCTTAGTATCAATGTTCAGAGTTGTTTATACGCTTACAAAAAGCAGGCCACGCAAAACAATAGCCGTACAAGTGCATGATGATTATTCTGAAAGATCGAAGAACGACTGTTGCATCTTTTATTAATATTTAACATCACTCACAGTGAACAATGATTCATTTATCTTAGTGCAAAAATCAGTGTTTTTATATCTTAACTATATTTGTTATCATATGGCAATTTTGTGCTCGAAATACCCGCAAGAGATAAAGCTGACTCTCTGATACGAAGAAGTTTATTCTTTGAGTGGGCACTTATCAGTGCCAGTTTGAAATCTGAGACACTTACTTTAGTTTTGGTTTTCTTTTGAATTGCTCCGCTGCAGGTATCAAACACAATTACGTCAACACAGACGGTTAAGATAAAACAAATAGACGATGTCTTGGAAAGGCTTCATAGTTTATTGTTGTCTTTGCTATTTCACTTTTTCCTGTTCTACCACAAGGAACATGTTTTCAGTCGTTAGCTAATATAGCTGTAAAAACAACGACATGACTGAGTGGTGGTTCGTCACTCTTGGGAATATGTTCCTACTTATAATTGCGTGCCTTACATTCGATGTGTCTATTTGTCAACTGCCAGATACGTTGACCTATCGTTCGGAAGTCTTCAAGAACATAGGCATCAAGTTATGCCAATACAAATGTATACAAAGTGGCTTCTGTCGCGCTCTTGAATACAATATCCAGACCCTCACTTGTCAACTATCAGAAATGGACCATGATACGTTTACGAATGGGACACAACACTT